CAGCAACATACTCCTAATTCTCAGAAACAAAGACGATATTATTCTCATGGCCTTTGTTGAAATCTGGAAGATGGGTGACTAGATAGCGGTTCTTCTTCCTCACTGAAAGATAGTAGCTACCTCTAGCAGCTTTGATGATATAGCAGTATAGGATGTCCCATAAACCAAGACTCAGACCTAAGATTTTGTTCAACGCAGACATCCCCATGACTATCCTAAAGAAATTGAGGCAGCATTAGAGGGGGCAGAGTTTTGCGGCAGAGAGAACCCACAGAAGAAGAGGATCAAAGGGAAAACGGATTCCACCCTCAGTAATGGCACGAGTGGGGATAGGAATTCTCTCGCTGGTGCCAATCAAGGGTTCATCCTTCCCAGCAACCTTGACCTCAACATCGTCTGGGATGTTGTATTTGATTTTGAAGGAAGGAACTTCTGATGGAGTTAGAGGAGCCATGAAGAAGATGAAGTACAGAGGAAGAAAAACGTAGAAAGAATAGGATAAAAATCTAAGAGTCTGGTAGCAGAAAAGCAAAAATATGAAGAAAGACGGTTTATAAAGAAGGAGGAATTTTAAAGGGCAACATTTAAATGCTCTGAATGTGCCTCCAAAACGAAAAGGCGTGTTACAAAGTACAAGTGATGATGAATCGATAAGAAAACGGCTGACAACCAAAAAACGTCTGTCTGACGTTTTCTGGGAACAAATGAAGAGGTTAAACCTCATGATTACACGTGACATGAAAGTAAATGTGCTCACATGATGTTGACAAGACAAGACACGTGATGAAGTATCTTTTATTAAGCTTTTTGCCCAAGTTGAGCTAATTAGAGGTTCGACAATGGCAGAAAAGTTTAGTTCTCTTTATGACCGAACTCATCAGTTTAGCTAAGTAAGGAAAGAGCTCGGCTTGTACCAAGCCGAGTCCGTTAAAATGTTTAGCAAGACAATTGAAAAGATCGATTTGTGTCAAACCAATACCCTTAATTTGTTCAATAAATATCAAGTGTGCTCGGCATTCGATATGTCCGAGCTGTTTTAAATAATAAACAGAGAGATAAAGATTCGCTTATAACTTAGGCAATCAAATAAACGAATCAGAGAAAATGAAGATATCAGGAGAAAAAATTGGAGAAATATCAGCAATTTTTCAAACTGAATCACTGAATTGAAGGAAGGTGTGCCACCTTTAATAATAAATTATGGAAACCCTAAGGGGATGTCCAATTATAAAAAACAAAAGGAGCCAAGAAGAAAGGTAGGCTGAACTCTCCTTGTCTTCTTCCATTCGTTTGAATACTTTTACTGACTTAAGTATCGGAGTGTCTTCAATTGAAGCACTTCGATCTTGGGCAATTTGTTTGTTTTGTAGGTAAAAGAAGACTAGGAGATCAAGTTCAGAAGCATATCAATTTCTCAATTGCAATAGGAGGTACTCTCTATTTTTTGCCTTTTACAGTACCGGTAATAAAAAGTATTTTAATCTCCTCTCATACGTGTTTGTTCAATAGGTATTATAGTAGGTCCCACAAATAACCATCTATTTTATCACATCTTGTATAACAAATATACAATTTTATCCTTAACATTATCCATTTTATTACTCTATTTGTGTAACACTTTTGTACAATGTTTTGTATAATACATGGTATGACAATCCATACCCAAAAAATTCCTGATAATGTAAAAAATTCACATAAAAAATAAATAATCTGATGCTATGAATCGGTGACATCGTAAATTTTTTTTTTAAAAAATCGGTGACACCATACGCTTAAACATAATATAAGGAAAAAATTTAAAACAATTTAAAAAAAAAAACTAGTGATACCGCACGCTTAAACATAATACAAAGAAAAAATTCAAAAATTTTTTTTAAAAAAATTAAAAAAAAGCGGTGACACCGTGCGCTTAAATATAATATAAGAAAAAAATTCAAAATAATAATTTTTAAAAAAAAATAATAAAATCTGTGACACCATACACTTAAATATAATACAAAAAAAAAATTCAAAATAAATTTTTTATATAAGAACTCTACACAGGAGGGTATTTGTGTCATTTTCTTTGTTTGTAACGTTGGTGGATTTATATTAGCAAATAATACCACCTGGTAGGTGGTATTCATTAAAACCATGTACAAGGGTTAAAAATTATTGTATAAATCGGATCGATATTGCAACCCAAAAAATAATCCTCCACATAAAATATTAATCAAACAAAGTAATAGGTGAGCCCTATGTAATATTTAATCTATTCCAGCTCCTAAAATCTCATATATCCGGCAAACAAACATGCCCTATTGTTTTCAACAAATCTTTGATGTTCTTTAGTTTTCCTGCCACCTCAAGTCTTTCTTCTTGTTGAACCCAGACGAATAGCCACTGGTGTGTGTGGTCAGTCAAAGTTGACCATGATTTTGTCAAAACGATCCAAACATTTCTGTTTTTAAAGAGATTGAATTTAATTGGTAATTGAATCAAAATTTTAATATTTTAAGGCGTTTCATTAAAGTTTGAGGTATTTCGTAATGTTTCAATATAATAATTACACTATTGTTTTGGAATATTTTTAAGGTATTTTCAAATATTTTGATATATTTCAAACAATGTCTTTAAAAAATAGTTTTTAATTTTTTTATTCGTGTTCATTCTATTTTTGAAAAGCGCTGAAACGTTTTTATTAATGCACCGAAATAAAATTTTAATCATTAGAGTCAAACTTATGAACTCGCATAACTTTATTTTGATTTTTTTTTATGTGATTAATTCAAAGAACAAAATTTCGTTTCGAAACGTTCAAAATATTTTCGTTTCAAAGAAGACCAAAAAGAATCAGTGATGAAATTGAAATTCGAATACGTCAGGGTGTTTCATAATATTTTGAGGTGTTTTGTAATGTTTCAATACATTTATACAATTATTTCAGAATATTTCAAAGTATTTCAAGATACTTTACTATATTCCGACCAATATTTTAAAAAAATTATTATTATATTTTTTATTTCTTTTATTATATTTTTAAAACGGGTTAAATTTTTTTTGAAATACATCTAAACGTTTTTGTTTCTTAAGAGAATGAAACAATATACTAAAACAAAATTTTGATTCTTAGTAATTATCAAATTTTATTGATATTTGTTGCTTCTAAATGAGTATTAAGTTTTTAAGATTTACTTTCATAGCAATAATGTGCAAACATACAAACAAAAAATAATAATAATTTAACCATTAGAGATGTTCCGCCAACTTACGCGCACCCTAATTAATGTCTTCTTCAGATTGATCAAAGATAGGTCATCCACATTGGAATTAGGATATTCATAAGGGATAAAATTCATGATCGTCTGGCGCCAAAAAATTATCAATATTTTTAACTAAGGACGTTTAGATTTACGGCATACGTATACCAATAATGTACACACATACAAAGGGTCTCATTACGATACTGAAATCGTACCTTTATTTTTTAACAGATAAAAATGTGTAAATGTGTACATGCACAATTTTTTTATTTTATAGTTTTATTATCTTTTTAATTAATAGTTGCATGCCATCATCTTTAAAATTGATGATGATCAAGATTAAGATTAATGGAGGCACAATATCAATTTTGACAATGTAATCTTACCCAACAAAGTAATTGATGAGCCCAATTCTTACTGGGTCTAGCCCAACCAATCAATGGAGCCCAAATCAGCCACAAAGTAGGTCAAGTCTAGTTCGTCAATTCGACCCAGCCCAAGGTCTAAGGGGTCCAAAAAGATTAGAATACGTGGGGGAGTAATTATCGAGATACTCACTCTTGAAAATCAAGGCTACCTTTAATTACACTTACCTAGTGTAGTTGTCCTCCCGAAAGACTAGTGTCTTTACCCTCACATTACTGTTTCAACTAAGGTTCAATGTCTATAAATTATAAGTCTTCTCCACATAAGAGGATGTATCTCTACACACCTCTCACATAACTTTTATTTCTCCTAGTTATTATACCTCTCCCGGAGCTTTCTCTCTTTTACTTTATTCATTAATAAAGATTCTCCGCCCATCATTGCCATTTTTTGAAATAAAGTAGGTCATCTAAACCGAATTACTATATATCTATATATTGACCCGATATTTATATTTTTGCCATTAGTTATTTTATTAATTGACTCGTTAATGACATTTTATCACACACTCGATTATTGATCATGCTTAAAATTATTTTGTGCATCATTAGTAATCACATGTAATGTTTCGTTCGGATGTGACTTTGAAAGGCTACTTTTAAGAGGTTGTCCATGATGTCACGCCCTTCTTTATATTTGATGTTGATAAATTAAATGTACCATTGAATATCAAAGGTACATTTAATATTCAAATTGCCAAGCGATGTGCTTTCAATTAAAAATATTTGGTTTGTTTAGAACCACAAGGGTATTTTCTTTGTTATCGTACTAAAGTAACAACGTTTATATGCTAAGTCATAATCTTTTGAGGATCTAAAACTACAATCAATCATATATGTTGTGATTGAATAAAAATAGTTGGGGTTATTCGTGATTAATTACAATAACATCATCAAGTGAATTCGAATTCAATCTCAATAAATAAATAAAAATTGTAGAATCAAAACACACAACCTAATAATTAAGATTACGCTTGGTAACTGCAAGTTTCTATTTTTTTTCAATTTTTGGGACAAATGAAAATAAAAATATGTTTGATAAATATTTTTTTTTTGCTGATCCATTTTGAAAATAATGCCAGTTTTTAAAAACATAAAAAAAAAAAAAAAAAAAAAGGAAAGAAGATAGAGAGTCTCATTTAATGAGGTCTAAACTTCAAACCTCATTAACAACAAAAAATCTTTCTTTTTCCCTCACCATAGAAAAAGCCAAAATGAAGGAAACTCTCCTCTATCTTTTCAAATTCCAATCGACGTCTCTACCCAACCGAAGGCTCTGCCCCTTTGCCTTTGCCATCGCCAACCGAAGGCTTTGTCTCTTCGTCAAATAGTTATGGCAGACTATCTAACTTCAGGTGGTGATTGTTTTCGAGGGTGGGGGATGGTGGGTTTTCCGGTGGGTTTTCGGGGGTGCTTTGGGGGTGGGGGGGTCAGCATTTTTGGGGGTGCGAGGTTTGAGGGTGGTCTTTTTTTTTTTTTTTTGCGGGGGGTGGGGGGGGGCAGCAGGGGTTTTCAGGGTGTTTGTGGGTGGGTTTTGGGGGTGGTTTGGGAGTGGTGGGTGGTGGATTTTAGTAGTAAGATGTGGGGTTGGGTGGTTGTTAGTGGTGGGTCTAGGTGGTGTTGAGTGGTAGATTTTTGGTATAATATCAAATATGTTTTTTATTTTTGTTTTCACAATTTTTTAAATATAAATAACTATCAAACATGTTTCATATTTTTAATTTTTATTATAGAAAAAAATAAAAAATTTGTTTTGTTTTTCTTTAAAAAAAATATAAAAACGAAAATGTTATCAAACTTACTCTAAATTAAATTTAAGCAAAAATACAGTCAAAATCAAACTTGAAATAAGAAACTTAACTCTAAGTACTACCCAGTGGAGGCATGCTGGAAACTCAGACATTTGGAATTAGAAATTTAATAATTTTTTTGGGTGCAAACCATAAAGAATTTATATCTCACAAATTCTCTAATTCTGATATAGATAATCTCTCTTTAATCAAACAAAAGAAGAAATTAATTAAAATATGCATTAACGGACTCAAAATACCAAAAAATAAGAGTAAATTATACTTTACCCTCCTAAACTATTACCCTTGATTTACTTTGTACCCTTAACTATAAAATTTCTAACATTGCATCTTCAAATATCAATTTTATTTCATATCACTCAAATAGATAACAACAATCTTAAAAATCTTTCAAAAGAGTAACGAAAACTCCAAAGAAGTGTCTAATACCACTTTATTTTACCTCTTTTACAACTAAATAATTGCTGGAAAGAAAAAAAAGGTCGGTTAGATGAAGAAAATTTGGAACTTAAGAAAGGCAAAATCATAGATATGCATTTTTTTTTATTGATTTTTGACCTGCACATATGTAATAGGCAATTGGTTATTGGTAGTACAAACCACTCATATGTGTATTTACCGTCAAAAAATTAATATTTGTTATCAATTAGAGTGATATGAAACATAATTGATATTTTAAGATACAATGTGAAAAATTTTATAGTTAAAGGTACAAAGTAAAATAGGTAATAGTTTAAAGGGGTAAAGTGTAATTTATCCTAAAAAAAATTGAACAAAACTTGTACGTACCAAGAATTTTTTTTTTTTTTAAAATACCAAGAATTCAAAGTTTCTCTACCATTAACACCTACAGTCAAGGAGTATATCAGGTCCCCCCCCCCCCCGGGGGAAATTCCTCCCAATCAACCAATACCCCATTGGCACACACATATTAGTCTGCGGTTTCGTCTTCACACATCCGACGACTTTTGTAACCCAGAAACACATTTGAAAACAAGACGAAAGCGTCGATCAAACACCCTCCAACTCTCTCAGGTGCGAACGCGTCAACACTCACCTCCTTTCCTCTCCCCCCATTTCTTTACTAAACTCTCTCTCTCTCTCTCTCTACATATGCATATATTGTTTATGTATGTATCTTCTCGCTAACCACATACACATCTAGCTATAAAAGAGAGACTGTTTCCCAGAATTTCTGTGAATTCTCGAGAAATTTGTCTCAATTCCAATGGCTTTTCGCCGTAATTGTTTGCTGTTAATTGTTGTGTTGATAGTTGTTTGGGGTTCGCAGTGTGGCGACGCGTTTGGGACGTTTGGGTTCGATGTACACCACAGGTACTCTGATCCAGTGAAAGGAATTTTGGACCTCGATGGATTGCCTGAGAAAGGTAGTATGGAGTACTATTCAGCTATGGCTCATCGTGATCGGTTCATCCGGAGACACGGTGGTCGACGGCTTGCCGACACCGTTGACTCATCACCGCTCACTTTCGATGGAGGCAACGAAACTTATCAAATCGATGGTTTAGGATTGTATGGCTTCTTAGTCCTTTTTACTTGATTTAATTGTTTAATTACAGATGATTTTGTGTTGTCTATTTCGATTTTTTTGTTTATTGGAGAATTGAGTGATAGTAGTGGTGAATTTGTTGGGAGATTCAGAGAGTTTTGGATTGCTGTCTGTTTCGTTGCCTGAGAAAATATAAGAAATGGCAAGGCAAAGGGAAATACAGTTTGTAATAATCAAACTCTTATTCAAGAAATAATTAAATTTGCGTAGTAATGGGTCAAGCCCAATAGTCCAACTCATGTGATAAGTCTGGTCTGAGTTTTAAGGCCCAACTCCAAGGGGTCCACTAAGTCCAGCCCAATGTGATCGACCTGATCAAACTCATCAAGCTCAAGGAGCTACATCAACAGGCAGCATGCAAGGTCATCTGAGAGTCTCTTCTACCACCTTAAAGTAGGGGTCAGTCAAGAGCTTCCTCTAAACTACCAAAAGAACGTCTAGGAGCTCACCCTTGCCGCTTGGAGAGAGTTAATCTTCCCTCATCATTTGACCAAGTCTTTTGGAGAGCATCATAAACTTTCTTGCCCGTTGAGGAGAGCAGAGGTCGCTAAGCTATTTAATCACTGTTAAATTCACCCCAATCCGTTATGACTATTAAACAGCTCAAACCCATTATGACCGCTTGATTAACTATTTAATTAGTATCTATTATGAGGCAACTATAAAATATAAGTCCCACCAACACATGGGGGGCATCTTACTCATTTTGAGCACAATTCTCTCCTCCTCTTTGAAAGCTTGTAATCTCCGGCTCTCCCATTGCATCAGAGTTAATAAAATCTTTGCGACCCTTGCCATTCCAAGTGGATGTAGGTCATCTTGACTGAACTATTATAAAGTTGGTCTTCTCCCTCTTAACTTTACTGCATTTTATTTTACTTAATTGATAGGTGGTGTACAAACCAATTTTGTGCATCATCAGTTTGACGCCGTCTGTGGGGACGACAAAATTCTCACCTCTAAACACTTTTTTTTGCTGAATCAAAGGCTATCACCACTAGAATCCATGAATCAGCCTGAAGACATTCCACCAAGAGAGAAGGAGGTTGCTCCTCCACCTGCCAATCCCGTCCCAAATGCGGAGCAGATGTTGGACACAATGCAACAATTTATAGTCCAGAATCAGCAGATTCTACAATCAACGCTCGGGTAACAAGGAGGAGTGCAACCTAGACCTCAAGCCAGGTGAGTTCCACTCCCAGGTCATCAAGGAGCTCCCCACCTCGGCGCTCCCCATAATAGGGCGCCCACCTATAGGAGCTCCCTTAGGCGCCCCACACAGGGGGCCCAATCACGAGGGACCTCCTCCTCTAGCCCTTGCACTTGCTCCCCATGGTGGAGGCCTATATTTCCAAGAGGATGAGGGTAAAAACCAAAGCATGAAGCATGAGAGTCATGTCCGTGATAATTCCAGAGTACCTCCCCTAATCATTGGAATGAAAAAATTAAGGAGGTACAAAATCAATTAGGTGACGTCTTCAACGCCACGAAGGCACAAGGACTCGAGACAGTGGACTATCTCATAAGTCGAACTGACACACCTTTCAAATCATACGTGGCAAACTACCCACTCCCTCAAAAATTCAAGATGCCATCCGTCGAAACCTTTGACAATACGAAGGATCCACTGGACCACCTCGAAACTTTTAAGACCTTGGTGCAGCTACACAACGTCCTCGATGAAATCATGTGCAGAGCGTTTCCAACTATATTGAATGGGTTCGCTCGATAATGGTTCGCCAAGCTCTCCCCAGCCTCCATTAGCTCATTTGTTGAGCTTAGTAGGTCCTTCGTGTCACATTTCATTGAAGGACGCTGCCACTAGAAGCCTGCCACCCATTTGCTCAGTATAAAACAAGATTGAGATGAGAACCTGAGGAGCTACCTCACTTGTTTTAACGAGGAGATCCTTCAAGTCGAGGAGCCCAATGATAAGGTGAGCATGACCGCCTTCCTAGGGGGCCTTCAGTCGTCAAGCTTTCTTTTTTTCGTAATGAAGCGTCCACCGAAGAGCATGTCAGAACTGCTAGCGAAGGCCCAGAAATACATGAATGCTGAGGACATTACAAGGGCCAAACGAGGGGAGTCCTCTAGAGCTGGGGAGAAAAGAAAAAAAAAAAGACAGAGACGATAAGAAGGAGAGTATTAACAAGCATAACTGGACGGAGAGGGTATCTGTCAAAGACCGGCTCGGTCCTGCTCCACAGAGAGATCGACAAGCCTTCACTCCCCTCAATGTCGATGTCGGACACATCCTATTACAGATCTAGGATGACCGCGCAATAAAATGGCCTGGGAGGATGAAGTCTCCTCCAAACCGCAGGAACCCAAACAAATATTCTCGCTTCCATCGCGACCATGGTCGTAACATCGACGACTGTTATGACCTCAAAAGACAAATTGAAGAGCTCATCCAACGGGGTCATTTATGCCAGTATGTTACTAGTAAGGGAAAGGCGTCGACGCTACCTCGTAATCAGGAAGGCCAACAGCCCATCGGAGAAATTCACACCATCTTTAGAGGGCTTGCAAGAGGAGGGGAATCCCTCTCCGCCATAAAGGCTCATGCCAGGAAAGTCAGACACCCCAACGAATTGCACCCATTTAAGGCGCCCAAGCATGGCAACAAGGTCATTTCCTTCTCAGAGAAGGATTTGGAAGGAATCCAGCACCCCCATGACGACCCTCTGGTGCTCACCATGACCGTCGCTAACTTCTAGGTGCGAAGGATTCTCGTGAACAGTGGCAGCTCTGCGGATATTTTGTTCGCAGAGGCTTATGATAAGCTCAACTTGGGCAGAGAAAGGTTGCAGCCCATTAGATCGCCCCTCATTGGGTTCTTAGGGGAAAAGGTGTATCCTCTAGGGTCTATTACCTTACCTGTCATTGCTGGAGTGGCACCCCGAAGCTCCACGATCATGGTCAACTTTCTGGTGATAGATTACCCTTCAACCTACAACATTGTCCTAGGGCGATCAGCTCTCAACACCTTAAGAGTTGTGCCCTCCACCTATCATCTTATTCTCCGCTTCTCAACTCCAAACGGAGTCGGAGAGGTCCAAGGAAACCAGATAGCAGCAAGAGAGTGCTACGTCTCCTCATTGAAGACCAAAAAGCCACAAGAGGCATTGCAAGTGGAGGTCCTTGATCCGCGAGGTGATGCCAAGTTGGAAAGAGGAGAACTGGTAGAGGAGCTCAGACTAGTGGTCCTAGATGAGGATTATCCAGACCGAAGAGTATACATTGACTCTTCTCTTTTTGAAGATTTGGTCCGCCAGCTAATAGACTTTCTGAGGCTCAACATGGACATTTTTGCATAGTCACATATAGACCTTGAGGGTATTGATCTTGAGGTCGCCACCCACCGCCTCAATGTCGATCCTCACTATAAGTTTATTTGCCAAAAGTTAAGGGGTGCCTCTACTGAAAGGGCCCAAGCGATGGAAAAGGGAGGTGAAAAAATTGATAGAAAACGGGGCGGTCAGAGAAGTAGCCTATTCTGAGTGGCTCTCAAATGTGGTGATGGTGACTACAGCTAATGGAAAATGGCGCCTCTGCCTCGACTTTACTGAGCTCAACAAGGCGTGCCCGAAAGATAGTTACCCACTACCACGAATTGACTTCCTCATTGACGCCACCGCAAGACATGAATTTCTCACCTTCTTGGATGCATATTTTGGGTATAACCAGATCAACATGTACCCCTTAGACCAGGAAAAGACGTCATTCATCACTCCAAAGGAGACCTATTGCTACAGGGCCATGCCCTTCGAATTGAAGAACGCAGGAGCAACTTATCAACGACTAGTGAACAAGATGTTCCAGTCATAGATCGAAAAAACGATGGAGGTTTATGTGGACGACATGTTGGTAAAGAGTTTCGTAGCAACAAACCACATCGACCACCTCCAAAAAACTTTCAATGTTCTCAAGATATTTCGCATGAAGCTGAATCCGGAGAAGTGCACCTTTGGCATTGGGTCAAGAAAATTCCTTGGTTTCATGGTTAACCAGAGGGGAATTGAGGCGAACCCAGACAAGATCAAGGTCATCCTAGATATGAAGTCGTCTTCCTCGACCAAGGAGCTCTAGCGCCTCAATGGGAGGATTGCAGCACTCAACAAGTTTGTTTTCAAGTCTGCAAGCAAATGCTTGCATTTCTTCAAGATTCTCCGAAAATTTTTCGAGTGGGGACTTGAGGCAGAGGAGGCCTTTCAAAAGCTCAAAGCCTATTTGGCTAAACGTCCTCTCTTGTCACATGTCGCGTCAGGAGAAAGATTATCCTTATACCTTTCTGTTTCTCCCTCGACAGTAAGCTCCGTCCTCGTCAGGAACAATGATGGAGTGCAAAAGCTTATTTATTATGTGAGTAGAGCCTACCGAGGAGCAGATATCAGATATTTGGGGCTAGAGAAGCTAGCACTTGCCCTCATCACAACAGCTAGGCATTTACGACATTATTTCTAGAGTCACACCGTTGTCATGATCACGGATCAGCCTTTAAAGAGAGTCTTGGAAAAATCGGATGTATCTGAAAGACTCCTCAAGTGGGCAGTGGAATTAGGGGAGTTTGATATTCAATACCAGCCAAGGGCGGTCATCAAAGCATAAGTATTGGCAGATTTTATTGCCGAGCTTACACCAGCAGAGGAGGAGGCCAATGAGCTTTCCACACTTTAGACGTTGAGTTTGGACCCGCAAAGCAATCAAGCGCCCGGCGAGGACACCCAAACGCTCGGCGAGAATAATGAGGCATCCAGACCAAGCGCACAGGTGCCCAAAGCAGGCACCCAGGCGCCCAGAGTAGGCACCCAAGCTCCCAGCTCTCCTCCCTAGGCGCCCAGCTCTCCACCTCAGACGGTCAGCCTTCGTCCTCAGGCACCCAACCTGGCTTCCAGGCTCCCACTTTAATCTCCAAGCCCTCCTCTCTACCACTCTAGAAGCTCTATGTAGATGACTCCTCGACCAGTAAGGGAGGAGGAGCAGGGCTG